TGTAAATGAATTCACGTAGTTCGTAAAAGTTGCGTTTTATAAATCTTATTTCTAATTTTATCGTGTTCGAAAGAAATTAAGTTCCGTAAATTAAATCCTTAGTAAAGGAGTTTGATATAAGAGATTGTGATCGTAATGCATAAAAATATCGGAACGAACTACTTTCTTAATGATATTAGTTAAATAAAAAGTATAGAAGAAAATTACTCTACATTTTCGTTCACGTGTCGCGCGTAGAAGAATTTTGTAACAAAAACATAATTTTTGGGGATTATCGTACAGTCCGATGTCTTCGCCAATAAATGTTTTTCGGGCTTGATCGAGAAGTTCGATCGAAACTGATTTTCTCCCGCTCGCGATGGATCGTTGCGTAGCCTCGCGTCGGCCGTCGCGCGCGACCTTGGCCTCCGTCAGCACCATATAACGCATGACACATAAGGGCGGGTAATGTCGGACACGCGATCCGGTATGTATACGCGGGTCGCAAGAAAATCGCTGCGACACAAACCACGACGCGCGTTCCGCGTTACCGTCTTACGGACGCGCGGCTGTGAGCTGCGCGGAACCGCACGCCAAGGATTTATGCTCACCCCCGGACTTGCTCACAGCATGGCGGCCGCAAATTGCACTTAGCTCTTTGCATTCCACAGCGCTGACGTCTTTCTCAACGACGATTTTCGTCACGGGTGCGCGAGACGATATCAGACACGAACTTTCTTACACGGCGTCCTAGATCGGCGCAAGCCGGTGCAAGTCGGCCTGAAATTACGTGAGAGAATTACGTGGTGTGCAGTACGACGGGCCGCAGTATCAGATCTCTCTCTAGCTCTGCCCGTCCGTAATTTTCTTCCTGCATTAGTCCCGGCGACGCGCGTGCATGGGCGAGAACATTTTGCAGCGCAAGAAACGCGAACTTATTAAACCGAACTCGTGACCTCTGCGTCAACCACGCGCTGCGATTTTTTTCCAACTTACAGATGATATCACCTGTAGAGATTGTAATGCTCGGCTACGCCTTTTAACTGTTTTCAACAGAAGTCGCGAGCAAAAGAAATATCACAACCATTCCGTGAATTATAAATTGTAAGCTTTTTGATTTTTACTGAAAAATACATTATACATATTATACTATAATAGGAAAAATCTATTCAAATCTCTTATTGAAGCCGAGACGTATTTCTCGAAAGCAACCTTATTAAAAAGATTTATTTCTAACAATTAAAATTATTGAATATCGTAGTTACTTTAAATAATATTCAAGTATACAACTGTCTTGATAAAATAGTTGTTTATGATACGAAAAATAACGCACAACAAAAGACTCAATTATTATAGTATATTGTGAAAAATAATCGAAGATTGAAAATAAAATGAAGAGTGATATAACTTCAAGTTTTAACTTATCTGTTTGAAGAGCGTGAAGAAATATTATTTATTTCGTTGTTATCATAATGATTAAAGATATAATAATTATTCGCAAAATGCTTTACTTAAATTATTCTTTTGTATAGTTATCTGTAACTGTTAATAATCCGTAAACAATGTAAATTGTTTATGGATATAATTTTCAAGTATAAATCGCGTACGATGGCATCGCGAAGATTCCTAGAAAATCCAAGATAACGAGCTTAACCGCGTGCTGAAACTTGAAATTCCGTGCCTGCGATCTTCGTTGTAGCGTCACTTCCTATCCGCGTGAGCGAGTTCTGACCCATTTTATAAAGAAAGAAGCCAGGTCGAGCCTCTATCGGCTGTCCATCTGGTTGGCGTGTGACCTTTCGCATCCCTTCGTTAGCTTGCGGCGCGAATAAACGAGGGAACGTTTTGGCTGATAGAGAGAAGCATTTGTATACCATATCCGATATCAAATCAGCTTATTCGACGATTTATAAGCGGCTCGATTTCTTGTGATAGATACACTGACGCGATAAGTGTACCGAATACAAAGGCAAAGGGTTTATATCTTTGAACTTTCGTGTTTGTGTCTACGACAATACATTCATTTGCCACACATGCCTAACTCATTTGCCACGTGCTTCCACTGCTACAGTTAACAGATTAATTTTGAATTTTATCTGATTATTGTAAAGAAGGCATTAAGACATGAAATATTACAAAATTATAAATTACAAAAACTTTGTTTAATTATGAATATATGGGAAAATATGTAATTCTATGCTTATAATAAAAATGTTTCTTAAAACTTATTTTGGAATTTTCTATAATATTATATATTGTTAAAAATCTACCAATATTTAAAATATAATTCAAAACTTGTCAAAAAGATATATGCTTAATTAATATATAATATATAAAATTCGATTATATTACCAGTTAATTAGTAACAATATGAAACGGTTTAAAATCATGTTAAAAAACATTTTATATGGCTTTACATCGATTTCGATACCCACTATCTTTGCGCCACTCTACTATGATCGATTAATATTATCTCAGCGTATCAACTTACATAACTAATTGAATTATCCTAGCGTGTGAATGTACTCTTGTATCGCCTTTGGAACAGACAACCTTGCTATTCTATTTTCCACTCAATTGAAATCCACATTCTGCAATCCAATTTTGTGCATGATATTTTCGCTCTGCCGTTCTGCTTCTCGTTATCATTTGAAACCCACAATCTGCTATCCAATTTTGTGCATGACATTTTCGCTTAGCTAACAGCCTTCAAGGCTTTCCATTGTAAGTTGGTATAAATAAAATTAAGATAAGACACAATGTTGAAATGACTTCAAGAGTTAACATTTTGCTTTCAGTAGCTAATATACATAAATTATCTACGAAAAATATGCTAGTTATATGTAGGAAGAATAAAATGTTTATGTTATATATTTCTATAATTAAATCGAGGAAAGAGTAATCTATCTAAATAGTTAATTGTCAAACAAATATTGTGATAAAATCAGTAGTCCATTCCTGCGATCGTTAGAAATAATTTTCCTTAATCTGATTTCGTATCTGCGTTGCATAGCGCAGGTGGTAATTTTGCTTAGTTAGGTCATATAAATGGAGATTGCGCACAAGTGCGGAAGGGTACGAAAGATCACGAGGTTGTTCGCAGAATGCTATTCAAATTGTAATGTCAACAATGCATGCAGTACATAGTTATATGAAATAAAATTCTTCCCTTCTTCAATAAAATGGCAGTAGCCTTCGCTATTATTAATTATAGCATTTCTGACCTGAAAAAAGAACATTTATATATACATATATATATGTATATGCAGAAAATATAGAAAGTGCGAGAAATTAGAATATTTTGTGTAGCACAATTTCGACTAGCTAAACTAACTTCCATCGGGTGACAAAAGCACTATGCTCGTTAGCAATTTGTGGAGAAAACTTGGCCTTTGCTGGTAATTTTGAGATCCTGGATAAGGAACGTTAATATCTGATGTTGTCAATATAACGAGCCCTTGTGAATTGCATAATGTTCCATAATCACGATACTGCACTGAATAGGCACTGAATTAGCTGCAGACGCTGTAGTTCAAGTACACTTGTAAAGGAACAAAAGCTCCGAGACGTAAACTGTACAGTTATGCTGAGCGACTACCCAATGATTTAGTGCTTGCTGACAAACGTAGATGAATCCATAAATTGAGAATGATGCTTAGATTGGGTAAATTACACGCATACTCTATTCGATAGTAATTTTAAAGCGCAACCCAGCTAAGAATACGGTAAAAGCAATATCTGAATAATCGAAATATATCGGAAACACATTTAAAAAGCTCTTAAACTTGCAGTCATTATTTGAAAATCTTAGATATTTCTCTTGGTTTTTAATGTTTTTTGACAAAATTTTCACAGATAATGTGTTGTCACAACAACTTTAGATTTTAATACTAATGTCACATTTTACATTATCCGCTATTCTTATTCTTACTGTCTTTTTAAAAGACTTGAAAAGATCATTATCGCTATACCAACGTGTCTATCGAACATTTATTACATTTTTAAAAGAGATCATTATCGCTAATCCAACATGTTTATATAACACGTGTCTATCTAACTGTAAATCTTTAAAAAGAAATATTTTATTTGCGTCATTTATAATTGAGAAAATTTCAATTCTTTGTTATAGATTAAATAGAAAATAACAAATGAATGTACAATATGTTTATATAAGAGTTTGTAATATCAAACTTTTTTGAATAATATATTAGGTTAGAAACTTAGAACCATTGATTGTTAACAAAGAGAATTAATAAACATTTCTCTTGTAAATAAACTGTTCATTTCTATTTATGACGTGGATACGCGTCTATACGTTACCAATTTGGTAAGAGTTTTACGTCTGGTCGATCGTATAAGGGATATACATATGTATATCTGGGCAGTATGCCTTGACCTCTCTTCTCCCTATTTTATGACGTCACAATGCCTTAAATACATCGACGACGTCATCGAAAGCTTACTTTAAGCGAGCGTTGCTCGCTTAAGTAGAAGCGGTCGTAATGAATACGGCCGACGCGACGCGGCTCGCGTGTCGGCTGTTTGGTCTCCTTATCATGTTCGGCGGAACCTTAAATACGCAATATTTCCTTAATCAATCTCTATCGCCGGAAATAGTGGTATTCAAATCACGCCCTACGTTCCATTTTTCGCCTATCACGCGTAAACGTGGTCTAATCATGTTATATGCATAATAAAAATTAATAATGGACTTGGCTGCCTGGCCATTGCGACCCGAGTAATAGATTAGAAGCAGAATAATATTTTCTGTGTAATCTTCCTTTATTTCTTAAATTTTCATTTTTATTTTACTATATATATACAAATTTCGATGTACATTTACAATATATATATATCTTTGATTTTAACAATAAGAACTATTTATTATATTATCGAAAAGATCTTGACTATTGTTAAATATTCTCCATCAAAGAATATGTGTAAGTAACAATTAGTACAATTAATTCAATTTTACAGAACATTTGTATCTTTTCTTAAATATTTTCTTAAATTTTTATAAATCTAAAATAATTTAGTAGAGAGTACAAAAGGTACGATTAAAAAAAGTCCCATGGATACGACGCTAGTTGCACTACCTGGAATTCCTGGAAAGAAGCACAATTTAATCAATTTGTTATTCAGGTTGGCCTGAATGTGAGTGACAAAATGAGAGGAGGTAAATGACGGTAGAAATAGCTTTCATCAGTCAAACGTTAGCTTTAAAGGCGAAAGCTATTTCTATCGTTCATCGATTCTTATGCGATAACGGAATTTATGACAGTCGTAAATCTATTTTCGAGACTGTGTGTTCGAGAAATAGTAATGTTCGACAGAGCACTGCTTTCCATGAGAACGAGCAAGAGGTTTGTTTCAGATGGACCATGTCGTTGCAGGCACGTCTTATCGATGCTAATCGCAAAAATTACAATACAGCCCTCGAACTGGCGTGCGAATGCGCGACTCGTAATTGCGGGCACATTATTCTGCCACATAAAAGGGTTTTATGCGCGGCCGAGAAAGGTCCTCACCTCGGCACTGCTTTAACGTGGACGGAAATAAAATGCGGCAAAAATTTTCTATTAACTGAATATAATAGCTTAACCGAGTCAAGGCTACTCACCTTTCAAAAAAAATTTTGACTCTTGTGAATGTTTTACACAAACAGTACCATTCAATTTCACGTAGCCCCATATGCATGCGCATTTCCCGTTTCTACAAACTATTCTTTT